TATATATATATATATATATATATGTATATATATGATCTTATTTTTTAAATTTTCTTGGAATTCTAGATAAATACGATCTCGCGGATAAACCACAAAAACTTCATCAATCTTTTGGGTTACTGCAAAGAGGAAGATCCTTTCATGAGGATGATGGTGTTCGAGTATGCACCAAATGGGACACTTTTCGAGCATCTTCATGGTTAGTTTTCAAAAAAAAAAAATTTCTTAAATTGATTATTAGATTTAAAGGCATTAACTAAGGGATCATGTGGGATATTTTTGTTATTTTGTTTTCTCCATATTTGAGTTTAAATAAACCATGTTCATTATGTTGAAAAAAAACATAGGATGTTTTTTTAATGTTTGTAAAATTTATTTTATTTATTTTTAAAACTAAAAAATTAAACATATAAAAAACACATTAAACAAACATATTTTAAAAAGAAACAGAACAGAATAGAATTAATCCCAAACAGGCCTCCATATTCTACATGCAAAATTATAATTTTAACCATTACTTACATGTATCACCCTGGTTGGGAACAACTTGAAAAGTTCTAGTGAGCTACGTTCGTGCGCTAACACCATGCATAAAACTTGCCAAGTATTTACATATTTAACACCTTAACTTCTATTTTTACATATATGTAACCTTACCCATGCATGAAAAGAAGTATTTCACTTTTCAAAAATTAAAATGGTGGCATTTTTTATGTGATGTGAATGATTTGAGTGTTATAAATATGAAAAAGTAAATTCATAGGAATTCAGAGATATGCATTTAAATGCCAATAATAATAATAATAATTTAAGCTTCAATTTTCAGTGCCAGACTTTGAGCATCTTCAATGGAGTGTTAGAATGAGGATTATTATGGGAATTGCATATTGCCTCCAATATATGCATAATCTGAACCCCCCAGTAATACACCCTATTCTACACTCCAGCTCTATTTTCATAACTGAAGACTATGCAGCAAAGGTGAGCCCTTATTTTCTCGCTTTAAACTGCATAAATGGAGTAGAATTGAATTTATTTGGTGTGCAGATAGCAGATATAGGCATCTTCAGTGAGCCAATTGGAAGAGGAAAATTTTACAAAGGAGATGGAAGAGACAACACTGATCATTTTACTACTTGCGAGAGTAATGTTTACAGCTTTGGGATTCTACTGCTAGAGATTATTTCTGGAAGAATGCCAATCTCTGAGGAAGATGGTCTACCTATTTTAAATTGGGTTAGCCCTTTTTTCTTAATCCTTAATTTTCTTATGAGA